TTATGGCAAATCTAATATATAGCATTATTTTTTAGGTATCAAAATGGCAAATTTGCATCTACAAAACTCACAGAGATGGTTGTACGTGCAGTGGGTGAAGTGGTGGCATCGGAAAGAGCGGCGGAAACATCGAAAAGGCCAGCGGTGGCGGCACAAAAAAGGGAGGCGGTTGGGTGGTGGCGGATTTTTTTCTGGCAGCGGCAGTTAGGTGGTGGCAAATTGTTTATTGGCGACGGCAGTTGGGTGGTTTTGTTCCGTCAAAAGCTGGGAGATCTGCTAGGGTTGTTTTTTTGTTTTTTAATTATAAATAGATTAGAAATCATTAAGGGCAATTTTGTCAACTAAATACATTTTTAGTCCTACGAAACATGGAAGTCCTATTTGTGCATTTGTTTATTATTTTAGTCCTATTTAGGGAATTAACTTTAAATGCAATACTATATATATGCGGAATATAGGAATAATATTTTAAAAACTTTTGTTTCATGAAGTCACAAAAATAACTAACGTAAGTGGCATCAACAAATTCACAAAAAGCGCCGGCGAGATTAACAGTTTCAACAAAAAATTGGTTTGCGGTAGGTTTATAAACATGACTAAAAGTTTGAGTTGCATTATTAAAATATACCAAAACATTCAAAACTTTTTCACAAGTGTCGATGTCGACCGGGTTTATAATATAGTTAGCATATTTTTTTTTAAAAGAAGGAAGGCTCCCAACGGCTATATAGCCGTTTGGGTTCAATTACAACGGCTCTAAGGCCTGTTTGGATGGCTAAAAGATTTTAAAAAAAATGTAGCCGTTGGCCTAGGAGTGGACTCGAGCCGGGCCAACCGACACGGAACCGGACCGGCCCTCTACTGTGCGGGCCCGGCCCGGTGAACCGGTTGGTGCCCGGTTCGGGCCACCCGGCCCGGTGAGGCAAGCGGCCCGGGCCCGGGCCTCCTAAAACGTGAACCGGCCCGGCCGGTTCGGGCCAATTTTTTTTTCTTTTTTTTTGATTTTTTTTTTAAGTTTTTGGGTTGGGTTGGGTATGATGGACCATTTGGGGTGGTTTGGGGGTGAGGGGGGGGGGGGGGGGGGGTTGGTGGTTAATTAAGAAAAGCAAAAAAAAGAAATATAAGAACCGAGGCCCGGCCCGGCCCAGACCCGGGGTTACCCGGGCCAGTTCCGGGCCTCCCCTTTCATGAACCGAGACCCGTCCGGGCCCGAACCGGAACCGGTCCACCCCTACGTTGGCCCGGATCGGACCCGAACCGACCGGACCAGGCCGGGCTTTCTATTTATTGAACCGTGCCCGAACCGCTCCCCTCCCTAGCTCGGGCCGGGTCAAAGCCCGAACCTCCCATTCAACAACCTGGTCGGGCCGGGATCGCACAGTGACGGGCCGGACCGGTTCCGGGCCAGGCCGACCCGGTTTGGTCCATCCCTAGCATGAAGCATGGGTTTGGTATGAATAATATGTGATAGATTTTTCACCGACTTATGGAAAATCGCTTGACAAAATGGTTATGTGACACCTGTCCATTGTCACACCTGTTCATCTTCTCATGTTAAAGGGTAGCAGTCATCATATAATTATCTTTATCATATACCGTTTTAGATGAATATAATATAATATGATCACACTCGATCATTAGACCCTGTTTACGTAACATGTTAAAGAAGAAGGCTGCACTTCATTATTATCTTCATGATACTCCCTCCGGTCCTAAATAAGTTCACGCTTTCCTTTTTGGGCCGGTCCAAATTAAAGTTCATACTTCATCTCCCTTCCTTATTTGGCAAATTATCTACGTCAAATTATCAAAACAGTGTAAAACAATGTCAAACAGTGCCAAACAGTGTACTCTACAGTAAAGTCAAATTCATTTTCTTAATTTGTGTGAAATCAAACACTGAACTTTATTTAGGACCGGAGGAAGTACTAATTTGTCTTATTGATCAAGTAAATTCAAACTTCATTTCGAAATGCACTACAAAAAGTACGGGTAAGACCGTAAGAATGGAAACGGTTTGTTTCAGGATTGGTTTTGGTCCCAGACCGGCTGGTCTTGAGGGAAAAAATGGGACCTGGAAGTCTGGAACTGGTAAGGTGTGGTATTATGTATATTTTACTGTTGTTGTCTGTGATTGATCTGTTATATTTTAGTCTGTTTAAGCCTATTGTTATCTAGTCCGTTCTATTTGAGTTTGATCAATTCTCTATGGTCGTTGTTGATGAAATCCGAAAAACATTGTCAATTGTTCTTTGTCAGTTTAAATTAGGCCTTTTCTGTTTTTTTTTCTTTTTTCTTAGAAAATCTTATTGGAAGTCCATAATGTAATATGTTTGTCCCGTCTGAGATGAAAAATGTGACATGTTGCAATATTATTTGGTAAGATTTCAAATCATCCAAAAGTTATCAAATAAATGAAAGAGGGGATGATCTGCCCTCATTGTACAAACGCGGATCATATGGTTAAAGAAGATTTTCATTTTACAACGTGTAGTTTTACAGTTTGTTAAACACAACAGAATTAATGGTTGTTTTAAATAGGAGTAAGAATTGAGATTCATTGTGCAAGGATTACAATTTGTTTGGGAGTTATGGATATCGTAAGGTACGAGTATTGCTGGACGTGCAAGCAACAATTCAGCTTTTGATGACGGAAGGTGAGTACACGCGCCAACACTCTTCTGAGATCACACAGTCTCATGGACTGTTATATCAAAATTAGAATGTCAAAGTTGAGCATATTTACCGAGAGGTAACCGGGTGTAGACTTTGAAACAGACCTAGAACATAGATTACGTATTGGTGTTCATTCTATTTCTAATGTTCAACATATGTTATCATGATAGAATGATTTATCTTGGATTTTTCCAGTCTCGCTTGATCATTAATATGAAGGGTAAGATGCAATGGTGCTATCGTTTTACATAAAAATATAATCAATTAATACGCCAGTGACACCCTATTTTCATCATAGGTTATGATTACCCATTAACTTTTAGAAGCATTATTATTATTGTCATATTACATGTTGATTGGTGAAGCTTATTGAGTTTTTTTTTTCTTTTTTCTTTTTTTTGACAAAAAGCTTATTGAGTTATTTCCCATTTATTTGAGTAGTATCCATAAAGCTTGTCATTTTCCGTCCAAATCTTATTCGATTACATCGGCTAAATGAATTAAAGGGATTGTTAACCAAGTGGGAGGTTATCGTGTCTAATGGAGGTCTCGGATTTGAAACTCGTTAGACACATTTAGGGGATGGAAATACAGACCAGTTCGCGTGGTGGGAGGACCGGAAATAGAGTACTTGGTATATTGGAGTACCTGCCGGATAACTCCATTATGTTACTTTTGTCTTATTTTTCAGACCCATATGTTTTCGTTTTACAAATTTATATGGTTTCTTAATTTATACCAAAATGAGTGGGAAGACTGGAGCAGCGACTATGGAATATGGACTATGGAGTGTCATACTCCCTCCGTCTCGAAAAGATTGGCCAAAGTTGACTTTCACGTAGAGTAATAAAGTAAAAAATGTGTGGTTGAAATTTTTGCAGAGGAGAGAGAATTAATTTTAGCCACATATTCCTTACTTTAAATGGAAATGACAAATCTTTTTGGGACATCCAAAAAATGAAATTTGGCCAACTTTTTCAGGACGGGAGTATTACATTTATGAACTTTTGATTAATTGTGTTGGAGACTTCCACATTGCTATTCCACTTACCCCCTCCGTTCCCAAAAATACTTTCCACTTTCCTTTTTGGACTGTTCCCAAAAATACTTCTCACTTTCCCATTTTGGATAATTTGTGTGGCTCACATTCATTTTACCTTTTTCCTACACAATCACAACCATCCATTTCCACTTTATTCCACTTTCTTAATAAGCGTGCCAAGTCAAACTGGGAAGAATTTTTAGGAACGGAGGAGTATTTCTTTATCTCCGCACTTCATAGGTGCGTGAAAATTATGGAAACCTAACCACTAACACTAGAGTTGCAGTCACATCAAAACGAATTATTTATTTGGGAGTCTAAGATACGAGTATATGGTTTGAATAATGTACCTAAGTTTGACATCAACTTCCACTAATACATGTAATTTACCCGGCCGGTAATTCTCAGATACAACTCAATTTCCATGCTCTTAAAGTTTGGAATTATTCCACCTTTATTCCCAAGATATCATATTTTCAGGAGTTATATTAGCGACAGAACATTTTTATGTAATCATATACTTCGTATGACTATAGAGTCTTATAACTTTATAAGTTAGCATATACTCCCTCCGATCCTAAATAATGTTACTTCAAACAAATTAAAGAAATAAATTTGACTTTACTGTAGAGTACACTGTTGTGATACTGTTTGACAATTTTTGACACTATTTGACATTGTTTGACACTATTTTACACTGTTTTGATGTAGATAATTTGCCAAATAAGGAAGAAAGAAGAAGTGCGAACTTTAATTTGGACCGGCCCAAAAAGGAAAGCGTTAACTTTATTTAGGATCGGAGAGGGTAATATTTTAAGAATCACATATCCTTTGTGAGGCTAAGGATGTTTTTACTTGGACTGTAATTTGCTGGTCTGGTCTGGTCTGAACTAGTCTGGTCTAGTAAATGTCTGATCTCTGTGTATTTTATAACTATGGAAGTCTGATCTGATCTGGTTTGGGATTAAAAACGGTCCAAGTGAAAACATTCTAAGAGAGCATCGCCGAGAATAGCTTTTTAAATTGGTGACTTAAACGTGCACAAAACCATACAGGAAGATATGCACAAAACCCGGTTCGTAGCGAGTGCGGCGATGTCTATTTTTAATTTTTTTTAATTTATGAGTAACAACTAACACGTACCTATCGCTTAATACTTTGTAAACAAAGTTTGAGTAAGAGTCTTAGATTTCAATAAGATCTTTTTAACGAGCTATAAAATGTTTGTAAGGGGGAGAAGTCAACTTGCCACTCTGCCCACTCCGACGTATATAATGAGACAAGCGGATGCGATGCAATCACACCCACAGTTAGCATATACCAAGCTAAAGCTAAGATGGCCGACTCCTTCGAGTTAATCGTTCCTTAGCGTGAAATTTACAACTTATAAGAGTCCATACAACTAAAGCTATGTAACTTTAACTATACCCCTATTTAAACTCTCTGCTTTTTCCATTCTCACTAGAAGGAAAATATCATCTTTCACGACTTATAACCAGCCTATAGGGTAGCAAGTCGCAAGGTATGGCTGATTGTGAAGCAGGGACTCAGCCGGCAACGGCTCCGCCTACTCCCGGCACGCCGTTGCCGCTATTCCAGTCATTTCGAGTGGACTCCCCGTCTTACGACCGGAAGTCAATGCCGTGGTGCAATAAGTGTTTGCCAGTGGACGCTCCAACTTTGGGAACGATCCACACATGTCTCGCCCCGGATATCTCGCTAACCCGCAAGGTATTGCCATTGGTACCTCATTAATGTTTTCGATATCTAAAACAAGCGTTCTTCGTGTACATGTCGGGTTACACGTTCGTTTTGTTGTCTATTCATAGACGATTGTTTTTCGTTTTTGTAAAGAGAATTGTCTTTGACCCCAAAATTTTATTTCGATCATTTCCAATTTTCCTAAAAGAAGTAGTATTATTAAAAGGTTAGAGTATTTAATTATACTACTTAAATTGATGCCGCAGCTTGGAGCAGAGTTCGTAGGGACGTTCATCCTCATATTTGCAGCGACGGCCGGACCGATCGTCAACCAAAAATACAACGGCGTGGAGAGCCTAATCGGCAACGCCGCATGCGCCGGACTAGCGGTGATGATCGTGATTCTGTCCACCGGACATATTTCCGGAGCCCATCTTAACCCTTCCCTCACCATTGCCTTTGCAGCGTTTCGCCACTTCCCGTGGGCCTACGTCCCGGCCTATATTGTAGCCCAAGTCTCGGCCTCCATATGCGCTTCCTTTTGTCTCGTTGCCGTTTTCCACCCCGTCATGTCCGGCGGCGTCACTCTGCCTTCCACCACCGTCGTTCAAGCTTTCTGTCTCGAATTCCTCATATCTTTTAATCTCCTCTTCATCGTGACAGCCGTTGCCACCGACACCCGCGCAGTAAGTACGTAATTGAGATGTGGTACGTGGTTGAATGTTACCTCTTAACTAACACCGCTCTACATTTCAGGTTGGAGAGCTGGCGGGAATAGCTGTCGGAGCTACAGTCATGCTTAACATTCTTGTGGCGGGGTGAGTATTTGAATATGCAGTAAAACATTGAAACTTTAAGGTGTTATAAGAGGGAGTTCCAAATTCAACTATAAGCAAAAATTTGGCCGAAACCTCACCCTCTTTTCATCAATGATGATCAAAGTTCAAGTGTGTGGGTTGTTTTGGGAGCCTTCACCCAACCTTAGGGATTGAGTATCATTTTTATAAAACAATGAAACATGATGATGATGAGAAAGTAGATAGAAAATTAGCGTCACTCATGGAATAATTTATCAATTACATACATATTTTGCCTTTCCGGGGGGATCTGCTAATATATTATGGAAATGAGTAATTTTTCAGGCCATCGAGCGGCGGGTCAATGAACCCGGTGCGGACACTGGGACCGGCGGTGGCAACCGGGAATTACGAGTCAATGTGGATATATTTGACTGCGCCAACACTGGGTGCCCTCGCCGGGGCAGCTGCCTACACTTTAGTGAAGCTTCAAGAAGGGGATTTAAATGAACCACCGCGCCAACACCGTAGCTTCCGCCGTTAGCTTCAACTGCTGCTCTGTATATATCATACTTTTTGCCAGTTACTACACTATGTGGGCTGTGCTGATCTCGGCCGGGATGGGCTGGGCCTGTCCAGGCTGGTTTGGGCATGCATCCGCTTGTGTTACATTTATTTGATTTTGTTTCTTTGATAGTTTGGGGTGCATTGTTGTATATATGATTTGAAGCCATGAAGGCGTTGACATAATATAAGCGTCTATTGTACCAAAGGATTTTCAATTCAATTTTATGTTTATATGTCATAAAATATGCGAATAGTTATACGGAGTATTAGTTATAGTGTTATACTACGATTACTTATATGAAACCAATCAAACCACAGAAATTTCCACAACACGTATTTAATGACTATTTAGTTATAGTTTGGCTCTCGTCCGTACCATCCACCACCGTACGTAATATTTGCTGAGGATCGCGGAACACTTCCGATCACCAGGAACGAGTGCTCTGATACCAGTGTTAGATCACAGATACTTTCAAGCAGAAAAGTAAGAATTCAATAACAAAGTAGAAGATCAGATCGAATGGTTTATTCTCCAACTGAACAGTTCACGGGGATACAGTGTTCAGGGACTATTCGAGATGTCCAATCTCCAAAAGCCAAGTTCACAACCAAATAACAGCCTACTGACAACAGCTTCTATTATTCTATTTATAGTAAAATTATCCACGCAGGGATAAAGTAACATTTAATAGTTACTTAGCTAATTAACTAACTATCTTCCGGCTCCTCCTTTTATACACTTTATTAAAATACTGAGTGGGCTGCTGAGCTGTATGTCTATCATTACTTCCCCCCTGAAAATTCACCTTGTCCTCAAGGTGAAACTCTGGGAATTGCTCTCTCATCACTGGTACCAATTCCCAAGAATCTTCGAAACTTGGTAGCCCCTTCCAGTGTATCAGCACCTCAATGTTGCCCTCTTTATTTACTCTGGAATCAATTATCTTCTCTGGTGTTACTTGCAATTCAAGGTCTTCACCCAAACACTTAGGTAAAGGCTGGTAGGACGTGTTTGGTGATAGCACCTTCTTCAGTAGGGAAACATGAAAAACCGGGTGTACTTTACTGTCTTCTGGCAGCTTTAACTTGAATGCTACTGGGCCTATCTTGTCAATAATCTCAAAAGGTCCATAGAACCTAGGGCTCAACTTTTGGTTTATTCTTTTGGCCAAACTTCTGAGTTTATAAGGCTGAATTTTCAAATAGACCTGATCCCCAATGTTCAATTTTACCTCTCTTCTATGTTTGTCAGCTTGTTGTTTCATCTGGTTCTGAGCAATCTCTAGGTTCTTCTTCAATTCCTCCAACATAATATTCCTTTGGGTTGTTAATCTGGACACTTCCTCTACAGCAGTAAGTGTTGCATCTCCTCTGATGATGGCAGGAGGGTCTTGCCCAAATAAAGCCCTGTAAGGAGTTAGTTTCAGAGATGAATGGTAGTTTGTATTGTACCAGAACTCTGCCCAATGCAACCATTGACTCCACTGTTTTGGTTTTCTACCAGTAATGCACCTTAAATAGGTCTCTAGGCACCTGTTAACCACCTCAGTCTGCCCATCAGTCTGAGGGTGGTATGTTGTACTGTATTTCAATTGAGTTCCTGCCAACTTGAATAATTCTGACCAAAAAGAGCTCATGAACAGACTGTCTCTGTCACTTACAATAGTTTTAGGGAAACCATGTAATTTGACCACCTCCTTTGTGAACAATTCAGCTACTTCTTTTGCATTATAGGGGTGAGAGAGGGCCAAAAAATGGGCAAATTTAGTTAATCTGTCAACAATAACCAAGATCGTATCCTTCCCATGAGATTTAGGCAATCCCCCTATGAAATCCATGTTGATATCTGTCCATATGTTGCTGGGAATTGGTAGGGGCTGTAGCAACCCTGCTGGCTTAAGGGCCTGGTATTTGTTGGTTTGGCAGGTAGCACATCCTTCCACATACTTCTTGATGTCAGTCCTCATACCATGCCAATAGAACAAATTGGAAATTCTTTTCATAGTCCTAAAATACCCTAAGTGACCTCCCACTGCAGATTCATGATAGTCCTTCATAATCTTTAACACCCTTGGGGACTCCCTTGGCAACACCAACTTCTTTCTGTAATACAATAACCCCTTTATAATCTGGAAATCAGGGTACTCATCTGGTTGTGATATGACCTTCTGAATCAGGTCCTTGCATTTGCAATCTGAATTCAATTCCTCTTCTAACCCTTCCCACTCTTGGCAGGTGACAATGGATAAGGATTGTAGTGTCAACTTTCTGGATAAGGCATTTGCAGCCCTATTCTCCTTCCCAGGTTTGTATTTGATGATAAAGTTGTATCCCAGCAATTTTGAAGTCCATATCTGTTGTTCTTCCCCCATCACTCTCTGTTCAGTCAAGAACTTTAAGCTCCTTTGATCAGTATGGATTTCAAAAACTCTGCCAAGTAAGTAAGGTCTCCATTTCTGTACTGCCAAAACAATAGCCATGAGCTCTCTTTCATAAACTGATCTATTCTGATTCCTTTTTGATAATTCCTTGTTCATGTATGAAATTGGTTTTCCTTCTTGCATTAGGACTGCCCCCAGACCTGTCCCAGATGCATCTGTTTCTAAAATGAACATTTTATTAAAGTCAGGTGTAGTTAACACAGGTACTGAAGTCATAGCTCTCTTTAATTGTTCAAATGCCTGAGTAGCCTTGTCACCCCAACAAAAACTGTCTTTTTTCAGAAGTTGTGTAAGAGGTAAGGCAATTTGACTGTACCCTTTTACAAACCTTCTGTAGTAGCCTGTTAACCCTAAGAAGCCTCTTAGTCCCTTCAAATCTCTAGGTTCAGGCCAGCTAACCATGGCTTCAATTTTGGCAGGATCTGCTGACACTCCTTTTCCATAAATGATATGCCCCAAATATACCAACTGTGACTGTCCAAAAGAGCATTTTTTAAGATTGACCACCAACTCATTCTCTTTTAATGCTCTGAAAACCTTTCTCAGATGCTCATGATGTTCTTCTTCAGTCTTACTATATACCAGGATGTCATAAAAAAATACCAAGGCAAACTGCCTTAAGAATGGCCTTAACACATGATTCATGAGGGCCTGGAAGGTGGAGGGGGCATTGGTAAGCCCAAAAGGCATAACTAGGTATTCGTAGTGCCCTTCATGTGTTCGGAAAGTTGTCTTCTGAATATCAGATTCCTTCATCCGGATCTGATGGTAACCAGACTTGAGGTCTAACTTGGAAAATATAGTAGCTCCTCCTAGCTCATCCAATAACTCCTCAATTATAGGTATAGGGAATTTGTCTGGTATAGTTATCTTATTCAACGCCCTGTAATCACCGCAAAACCTCCAGCCCCCATCCTTTTTCTTAGCTAACAAAATAGGACTACTGTAAGGGCTGTTACTGTGCTGTATAATTCCAGAACTCAGCATCTCTTTAATGATCTTTTCAATCTCTGTTTTCTGATACTGTGGGTACCTGTAGGGTCTAATGTTGGGGATCTCAGCTCCTTCTTTAATGTTGATGGCATGGTTGCAAGCTCGGTTTGGAGGTAAACCCTGTATGGGTCTGGAAACTTCTGGAAACTCAGCCACAATATCCTTCCAGATCTGATCCATCACCTTTTCTCCTTCCACTAGCACTGAACCCCCTTCAGGATATACAATAAATCCATCCCCAGTATCCTGTATTATCTGTGACATTGTTTTCAAGGAAACCTCTATAGAATTTAGTTGGGGGTCTCCTTGTATGTCTATCACATGCTTAGCTTGAAGCAAACTGGAACTGTTAAGGAGTTTAGAGATGAGTTTGAAATGATGATAGCTCCTCAAATCAATGTGGATATGGAGATCCTTAAAGGAATTTTCCTTAATGGTTTGAAGGAGGAGATAAAAGCTGAACTTAAATTACATAATTCCACAGCCTTGAGTGAAATTATGGACAGAGCCCTACTAATTGAGAGTAGGAATGAAGCTATATATCAGAAGAGAAAGGAGGAAGACCGGGTACTTGGGAAAGAGAAGGGGACTGCAGCAGTGAAATCACAAGTCTGGACTGAGGGGTACAAGTCCAAATTTAGCAATACTGGACCTCATAGTACTGAGAAGAATGGGGCAGACAGTAAGACTAACCAGCCTTGGTTCAATTCAAGGGGGACCAGAGTTACAGAGATTCATCCCTCAGGTATCAAAAGAGTGGGTCCTCAGTTGTCTCAGGATGAGTATCAGGAAAGGAGCAGAAAAGGCCTGTGTTTCAAGTGTGGAGAGAAATGGAACAAAGAACACACTTGTAAACTAAAAAACTACAAATTAATACTGGTAGAAGACTCAGATAAAGAGGAGGAAGAAGAAGGAATTGGGGCTGAAATTTCAGAAGAAGAAGAGCAGGTTATGGAATCTAAATCTATGCAATTGTCTCTCATGAGTAAGGAAGGTATTCCTTCTATGAGAGCTTTTAAGGTTCAAGGATGTCTAAGATGGAGCAAGGGTGAAAAGGAAGTGGAAGTTTTGATTGATAGTGGGGCCACTCATAATTTCATATCACAAGATCTGGTAGAGCTCTTGAAACTGTCTCATACCATTGTTTCAGGATACAAAGTCCAAATTGGGAATGGGGAGAAGATTACCAACAATGGCAGATGTGAAGATCTGATTTTATCTATGCAAGGGACTGATGTAAAGCAGAAATTTTATATTCTGAATTTGGGAGGGACTGATTTAGTACTGGGAATGGAGTGGTTAACCAGCTTGGGAGATGTGGAGATAAATTTCCAGAAACAAAGCATTAAATGGAAAATTGAGGGGATTTTAGAATTGGGAAATTGGGATCTGGGAGAGTTGAGGCCTCTCGAAGTGCCCTGTCTATACCTTCTTATTCTTTTCTGCAATTCTGTTCAATAATAGTGATTGTTTTACTGTTATGAAATCAGCTTTCCTATCACGGTACCTTCAAAGTACCGTAGCAACGACGGTATGGACCAATAAAAAAATTTCAATTCAATAATTTAAATGTAAATAAAATATGAAATTTTGAGTTGGACCAATTAAATGCATGTTAGGTATGGTACCCTTCTATTTTGGATGGGTACCGTAGCAGGCATCATAAATAAAATGGAAGAGAGAGAGAGATTTTAATGCATGCCTTCTAGGCTTTAAATACAAATTTCTAATTAAGATTTTCCCTCAAATAAATAAATAAATAAAGATTA